TTTTAGATAGTCAGATCTGTTGGTGTGTTATATTATTTTAGATATATTACTTACAAAATGGATCAAAGGGTTCCCCAACAAGGGCAGCATTAAGCTTGATGTCGAGCTCATCCTGAGAAGAAAACATATATTTGAAGGTTATTTATTTTTATCATTTGTAGTCTTGGCGCTAAAGAGTTTTTCACCCTTTTGGTTTTGAAAACTGTATGTTTTTTTAATGATATATTATAAATTGACTAAAGTGTTTGGTCTTTCCTTGGGAGAAAATGAGAAAGTAATGTTATTGAAGGCTTTTAGCTTTTGTAGTCTTGCTGTAAGGAGCTATTCCAGAAAATTGAACAAAGAGATTAGATTAAATTTTGCGTTTAGCCTGTACTTTGGAGAAAAACATATAGTTCTAAGTAAGAAATATTGGAGGATTGTACCCCTTGTTTTCTTAGCTATGAACTTATTCTTACTTACTTTTTGTCCTCCTTTATAACTTCCAAATGGACCAAGGCATTATCTAAGTAGGACTCAGGACAAATGCTTAATGTTACGCCCATCTTTTGGGAAACATACATTTAAGGTTTTTTATCTTTTGTTTTCTTGCCTTTGAATTTACAACCCTTTAGGTTATGAAGAGTGCTGGACTAAAGCTACATTTCCTAACTCAGCATTCAACTTGTCCTTTGAAGAGGAGCACCAAGGATTTCAAAAAAATATATATATTGACAGTTTTTGAGAGCTATGGTTTAGCTCCAAGACACAACAACTAAATACCTTTTGAGAAAAGCAAAAGTGTTCAACTGGCTAACTCCCTTCCTAAGCAAAGGGCTTCTCTTCTCAGCATTATTGGTAACTAAATGGTGGGCCTCTGTAGTCCTTGGGTTGGTGCTGTTTGACATTAGCGCATCATTTAACAGTAGGGGTTCTAATGTTCTATATGGAACGACCATTCTTAATTAACTGATGCTGTTATTATTGACGTAATATCTCTAATTTGAGAAAGCTGAATTCAAGGACATTACAGAACTGTTTCAACAGGTAGAGTAGTACTTATTTGTATAAGTAAACTGTGATAGTCGATTACAATTGTTGGAGTTCTTCTTTAATTGGGCATGCAAGAATATCATTGATTGATACTAATGTCTTAATACTGAATATGTTAATATCCACTCACTTGACGTTTGTGGAGAGACTTTTCCAAGCTGTCTTTTGTTCAAATTTCTTTTTTGTTTTCTTTGTTTTTTACAGACAGACAATGGTAATCAACACATGCAGTCGGAATGAAAGAAGAAGCTCTAACTGGATTCATAATTTCTTCCACTGTGCTCGGCCTTTCTGTCGCTTTGTGTCTGAAAGAATAACGCTCCACTGGATAAAGACTTAATTGGATCCAAACCGACATCCAGAACAATAAACAACCAGAATAAATACAAATGTAGAAATGCTGGGAAAAGAGTGGGAGAGGAAATGAGCTAAGAACAGTAACCCTGTGGACATAAAAACTGGACATATTTTTTCAGTACTTTTCTTTTCGAAATCTGGTTGGGATATTTCAATTTGCGATAATGCTCTTTACATTGCTTTTATCACATTGAGCTTTGGACAAGCTTATTTTGTTGAACAGAAGGATTATGCTTGAGTATTTTTACATTAAACGAAAAGCAAAAATTGGAATTTTACATTTCTATTTTTTTTTTGCCATGTTCCTCCCAAAGCTAGATGCCCTGCTTCCTGCACATTCTGATGTTTTTTAAGCAATTTTTTTGTGAATTAGTAAATCTGACAAATTCACAATTCACTCTTCAAACTTCTACCGTTCATCCCAACAACCCCTCCCACCGTCAGCAATCCGGCCAATCATGGGAAAGCCTCTAAGCCGTCCTGGGTGTTTCAGGAAGAGCTCCTGCTGCCTGGAAAAACATGGAGCTGGGGATGGGGGAGTGGGAGGGCGGGCTGCGACAGTGGACGGGGGTTATGGAGATGGCTACGTACCCCAAAGATCCATCTACGATACCATGTGCATCAATCAGCAGATTGACAGCCATCACCATCACTCTGGAGGATCCATAAGGAGAGATGGTGGAAATGAAGGGAGTTTTAGCTACTCTGCAAGTGGCTCTCTGAGGGTGAGCAGGTCTCCGGCTGACATGTTTGATTCCCAGCCCCGCTCTCTAACTCCCAACCCCTCATTTGTTCGGCGACTGGATGAAAGAGCCATCTTTGATTCATTGAAGCTCGGTGGTCAGGATGTCGATGGTGTCGGCTGCCATTCGCCAGGATGTTTCAACCGATCAGTTTCTCCTTCAATGTCATCTTTTTCAGCACCCGGAGTGTCCTCTTCCTCATCCAAAAAGCACCACCATCACCCCCACCATCACCATGGAGACAGTGCAAAGAGTAGAGATGGCCGACATTCCTGGAAAGTCATGACACCTCCAACACAGATGGAGTGTATGGAGTATACTACAACTGAGATGATGGACAGAGGAGGTGGGTATCTAAACCCAGGGCAATACCCTCCCCCTGGGGGCCAGTCCTCTTCTCTTACTTCCCCCCTAATTTCCCCCTTTTCCGGCTCACCTCTCTCCTCAGGTTACCATACTCCAGTTTTCTTCTCCCCTGCCAAACCTCGACCCAGTCAGTCTCAGAGTTTGCGATGTTCCCCTCCCCATGTCATCCAGCCGAGGCATTACTCGCAAACACAGAGCCTCAGAATGTCGCCACCTCTCGAGGTAAGACGATCCCCCTACCGCGCCCCGTTGGTCCAACTATCTGCTCATGACCTCGAGCAGGAAATGAGGGATCGAGGAGGAGGATGGAGAAATGAGCGAGAAAGGGACTGGGAGCGGGAGAGAGAAAGGGAGATGGAGCGAGGGTGGGCCCAAAGAGAGTGGGAACGAGAGAGGGAGAGGGGGAGACTGGAAAGGGAGAGGGCAAGAGAAAGGGAGAGGAGGGAAACATCGTCCTTTGGGACCTTCGGGTATGGTCGACCCGTACCTTTGCGTTCTGACAGAGACTCTGTGTTTTTAGAGCCTGACCAGGTTTTAGACACAACACCCCTGTTGCTTCCCCAGCCTTCACCTTCCCCTTCACCTTCCCCCAATGCCCCCAGAATGGGGACTGCCGCTGTGGGTAGGAATAGAGCTGTGTCAAAAGTTGGATCTGAAAGCATAGGTGGGGTTATGGTTTCAAAGTATGACAATGGGAGTGTGGGTTTGGTGTTAATTGACAGCAAATCTGGGTATGGGCCGAGGTTAGTAAATGAAGTTGGGAACATGTCAGAGGCCGAAATAAGGGCTGCAATAAAAGAACACCATAGAGCTGAAAGTTGGAACCAGGATGACCACGGATCCAGGGCTAGTGTTAAAAATGGGTCTGAAAAAAGAATGGGCTCCCAGGTGAAAACTAGACCAGGGGGACGGGATCTAGAAGGAAAGGTTCAGTCTGGGGTAGGGATCGAAAATATGGCTCCAACTGTAAACAAGGAGGGACACAAGGGAGGGACAAGGAGTGGAGAAATAAATGGAAGGGGTGGGGCTAAACAAGAACCTATTGCTGAGTCTACACCATCTGAGAACAGGTTTGAGCCTCGAAATAATGTTGAGCTGGTAGCTGAACCTGGTACAGGGATGAAGCCAGAGATCGAGGCAGAGGTTGAGGTTAGAGCTATTTCAAGGCAAGTGGACAACTTGATTGGTAATGAAGTTGAGGGTGTAGCAACAGTTAATAGTGAGGTTGGTTCACCAGAAGAGCCCAGAGTAGAAGCTGAAGTTAAACCAGAAGTTAAGATGGCCCCATCTGAGCCTGAGGCAGTACTACAGACTGGGGTTGGTAAGGAAACAGGGACTAAAAGTAACATCGAGACTGGGGTTGCTTGTCAAACCCAGAGCAGCAACAAAATTACAGATAAAGCCCAGATAAATGTTGCTGCTGGGGATAAAACGGAGAATGCTCCTGAAGAGCAAGATGAGAAAAAGCCCTTGGACATTGATAAAATTGAATCTAGCCATGTAGAGAAATGTTCCAGGTCACGCAAGTCCAAGTCCTCCAAATCAACATCTAGGACTCGACCTGGCACAGCAACAGGGATCCGTCCAGGCGTGGTCAGCCCTTGCCTAAGCAGAGGGTTTCCGGACCTTGAGCAAACAAGCCCTGCTGAGGGCATTGAGTCAACTTGGCCACGCCGAATTATTGTCAGAAAGAGGACTGTTCGGCAGGGTGGGGCACTCCACAATCTCCCTATTCTCCCCCCACTCCCCTCTGTCCTCTCAGCACTGGAGAAGAGGCATCCGCATGTTCACCTCCTCCCTCGTCCAGGACACTATTCAGAGAATCCGCTAACAACACTCATGAATGCTACAAGTATCGTGGGACGATGCTCACTTAAAGAGCCATCCCACCAAGATCCAGGACAGAGCGCCAGTTTGGTGGGCAGGGCTTCCCTGAAGGAGCAGAACTTGGAGCACTGGAGGGTCTGCAGAGAGCAAGAGGAACCCAAGAGGTCCAGAAGCAAGGAGAAACAAGCAGAGCTAAGCAAGGGTAAGACTGAGATCGAGGAGATGAAGGGAAAAGAAGAGAAGCGAGACAAGGAGAGGGGGGAAGAGAAAGACAAAAAGAAGGAGAAAGTGGGTAAGGAGAAAGAGAGGGTTCCTGTCAGTGTGGGGCTAGTAGAGGAAACCAAACGAGAAAAGTCAGAGAGAAGGGTTGAAGAGAAAGTGCCAGAAGATTGGAACATAAAGGAACGTGTGATAAAGGAACGTGTGAAAAAGGAAAGAGATATAGAAATAATTTGTCTAAAAAAGGAGGATAAGGGAATGGAGACTAAAGATGCAATACAAGGGCAGCATGGAAAAGAGTTCAAGCAGGTTGTGACAAAATCAAAGAAAGAAGAAAGTGAGGTAAAGGGAGGAGAAGAAGAAGGAGGCCCTTTGCGAGAGGAAGAAGGTTGGGACACTGTCCTGGACATGGTCAACACTTTGTGGGAGGATGGCTGGGAGAAAGGAGGAGCGGGTGGAGGGGATGATACAGATTCCTTTTCTGGCTCCCTTCCGCGTTGGCCTCTTCTTCGACCCCCGATGGGTTTTGGGGGCTCTCACCCCCCCTCCTCTGCAGCTTCGGAGCTCAGCCTGACTGAATTGGAGCGGAGAGCCAGGGAGCTGGACTCTGACCTGGAGCACCTAGACCTGTCCCAACCACACAGGGACACCCAGGATGTATACCAGCCACTGCTGGAGCCACAGAGGGAACGAGCTGACATGTACCAAACACACCCAGGGCCGCAGAGAGATAAAGCTGCTCTCATGACAGGTACACATCAGTAGGATTTTATGTGTTTGTTTTCTATCTTCCCATATTTGTGAACCGCTCTATCAAAATCAGTTGGATGTCGCAACAGTGCATTGCGAGATAATTGTGTAAAATTATGTAACTTGTGTAAAAAACTTGTGATTTAGTCATTTTGGGGATTTGGTTGATTCTAAACAAACAAAGTCTTGGCTTTCAGAATCTCAAACATGTATTGCCATATTCAGACGATAAATACGTTTCTGAAGCTTAAAGGGGACCTATCATGCAAAATGCACTTCTTGATGGCTTTTATACATAAATATGTGTCCCTGGTGTGTCGGGGGAACTCACGCAGTGTCAGCAAATAAAACCCTTTCTCTTTTCCTCCGTACCACATGTTTTAAAAACGGGGATACAACGAGCAGATACAGATTTTCTGCCGATATGACGTAATTTTGGATGGTGGACCCTCATGGTTGGTATCAGAAACAATGCCTGACGTGTTTTGGACGTAATATGGTATTTGTTTACATTAGCAAGCATCGCTAACACTCAGAACTAACCTTTACTGGAGAGCACATGTGTTTAAAAAGCAGGAAATAAAAAAAGGAACTCACCTAAAATAATTTGAGCTGTTTCAGAAATAATCCTTGATGTGGTTTAGAACAGGATGGCGTTTTATCACAGCTGAATTTAACTTTTTTTCCGGTAGAATTCTGATCAGGCATTAGCTCCGCCTCCTTTTTTTTCAAGCTAAGGACCCAAAATCCGCGTTTCTCTAAACAGGGCTGGGATAGAGGGATATGAGGGATGTCTACAGGCCCGGACACACCGGGCCGATTTCGTCTGTCGATAGATGTCTGGCCGTCGATGAGCGTCCTGTGGCCCTACTCAGATTGGTTTGTCCAGCACCGTCGTCTCTTTTCGGCCGTGCTGACACCTTCCGCTCCCGATTCAACATATTATTAAGCAATAACTGTTGCTAAAATATTGTCAGCAAACTTTATTGGCCTTTTTCCAAATTGTGTTAACAGACATTATGTTATTCGAAATATTTTTGGTCTATATTTGGAGAACAAACACAATAAGATATAATTGGAAAGCTAAGAATCTCCTCTTTCCAACAGTGTAAAAATTGCAAAATGTGATTTTGATAGAGCAGGTCATATTTGTTTTATTTAGGTAACTAAGTCTGTTGATTTTACTTATAAGGGTCAGTTTATATGTCATGGATACTTGGGAAGATCTTTGTCATGTTTGACAGAAGATGGGGACTGGAGTTTTTATTGTTCCATCAAGTAGTCAGGTTTATTATAACTTGATTTTAACTTTCGTGGGATTTTTGTGGCGATTTGCTAAACTATACATTTTTGGAAAGGGTATTGTATAAGGATTCAGAAAATCCATGTTTCCATTTGCCCAGATGTCTATATTGCGGCCATATTGGAATTTCCAAAATGGCCGACGTAAAATGTAGGTTTTGTAATATCTCGGGTTCTAAATAAGCTGGAACATTGATTTTAACTTCTAAACCTACATTTTCAGGGTCAAGGAATCCAATGGTGGTAGTAACAAAGGTACTACATTTTACAACATTAACCCTTCGATGCATGAGTCGGTCGAAAATGACCTGTGCAAAGTTTTTTTAAGTATACAAAAACAAATTGATTTGATTATTTTTCATCAAATACTCTATAATAGACCATTATCTTCTATAGATAATATATAAATATCTTATAATTCAATATCAGGCAAAAAAAAAAATAATCTTATGTGTGAGACCACAGTTTTTTCTCTCCTATGGGCAAACGGCACTGTTTCTTCCAGAACTTCCTGATATTCCTTCTGATTATTTTGTTGTGACCACACCATAGCCTACTCATACTGAAGAAATGTCATCCCTCAAAGGTTATTTTTACACAGTTTTGCCATCAAGCAAGGGGATCTCAGAATCCTATCAGCTGACACAATCTAAAGATGGGTTTGTTTGCATTACTGCATTAATCCAGAATCGAAAGCGGAAGAAACTTCCCAGCAATATTCCAAGGCCCTGGGCAGGATACAACTCACCTGTTTGTCTGAAAGGCTTCCCCTTTGACCAACAGGGTTGAGCCTTGGCCACTATGCCCAGAAGGTGGCAGACGAGTGGTCCACCTCTGTTGAACTGTGACATCATGCAAGCAAATCAAGCTTGAGAAGTTGGCAAGTTGGGGAAAGGATCACCCCACAGTCATTACCTTTTGACATGGCCTCCTATGAGAAAGGTGGTGGCAGCTCCCTAGCTTGCCAGACCCTGACCTGAAACAGATGGTTTGTTTTCCCAAAGATTGGGTGAGCCTGCCAATGTTGTCATTGACTGCCCTCAGAGCTCTTGGTGCCCTCCATGGAGAATAATTGGGTTTTAGAGAATGATGCCTGGATGGAAAAGCCAGATGTTGTATTGGTCCCGCTGCCACAAACAAGGCCAAATCCCTGAAATGCAACACTACAAGCGAGCTCTCCATGGCCCACATCTACTCCGTATGTTAGCCACCTATGGAATGGCCTCCGGAGGAAGTTCTTTAAGGACAACCCAACACAACTGAAATATGTGTGCCTGAAGGCAACAGAGGGAGTTATAAGCTGCCTGCTCGGAGGGTAAAAGACAAATCCAAGGCGGATCTGTGAAAGCAAAAGTCAACGGACCCTCAATGGAAAGCCCACTGCTGAAGTCATCACAGCAATTCCAAGAAATGGAGGAACAAAAATCCCAGCAATGCGATGTTCAAGGTCCATGATGAGCTACCCTAACATCTTGTGGAAACAATTCCTGTTTCTTTCGTAGCAGCAACTCCGGAAATGCTGACCTTGAACTCCATCTGCAGGCTGGAGAAGCACTGAGCAACAGCTGTTATTTTGCCATGGGATCGCATTAAGTACAAGAAGACTCTGGGCACAAGATACATCGCGCAGACATGCAATGACTTGAGGAATCAAATTCAACCCCTCAGACCTGGGGGGAATACACCGCAGGTAATATATCTGTCACCAAGAGTGTCATTCCCTTTGTTGCTGTTGGGGCAGGACCAACAACAAATGCGAACATCCCTGACAAGCTGAATGAAAGATTCCGCCCTCTGTGTTATTGGAATCTCTACAATGCCAATGCCAGAAACAGAGATTTTTTCATGTCCACACCAGAACTTTCACGTCTGTCGAAAGGTTCAAAGAGGTCAATTTGACATGGAAGCTGACAGAACCACAAGCACCGATGAGCTTGGGCCAAAGTGCAGTCCAAGAGGGCACATGGTACAATTGGACAGATCAAGGCAGCCATACTCAGTCATGGAAACCCTTTTACCACTGAACGGGACAACGCATGTACAATGTAACAACACTCCTGCTACCATGCCCCAGATGAGTATTAACCACAGATCTTGATGTTGATGTCACTGCCAGAAGTTTTATGAAGAACTTACATGTCCAGTAGCCGGAATCAATGGAAGAATGTCAGCCTCTGGGCCCCATGGTCGGAAAAAAGTGAACAATAAAGATGTTCCTGTCTTGGGAACAAGAAGCATTACAGTTGAAAACCTCAAGAGACAATACTAGTGGATCTGAAGGCAGACCAAGGGGGACCTGTTTTTGCAAGGCTGATGGTAAACTTGCCAATCAAACCCGAGCAATCACCAGAAAGAGGCCAATAGAACCTATGAATTTTACTTCTAACCACCAAGGGCAACTGTTTGCTTTCCCTAATGAAACAATCCACTGGCCAATGCCAATGTCAGTCCATGTAATGCAATTCCTATGAGAAGCTGGACAAAAGGGAAGATGTGCCCATTGAGACCATCAAGCTGCCTCAAGCTGGAAGTTCCCTACCCACCAAGATGCTATTGAATAAAAACAGATTCACAGACACCAACATCCTACGATCAGGCAAAGTCGAAAGAATAGCAAACTGGTGGACGGCATGGTGCTTGTTGCAGAGCTGGAGCAAAAAAAAACAGCACATGTAGTTGACTTAAAAGGATCGTGGGGCTGCTTCAAATGACAGACTGAAATGTCACAAAGAGATTTATGGATGAAATTAAATCTTGTGTTTCGACACATACAGGAGAGATTCTCTGAAGAGTGCAAACCAGAGATCACGAAGACAAGGGAAAAAAGCCTATCCCAGTACCAAGTCAACATGAGATGACACCCACATCAAAACAACAGATCCCACTAGCAGGTCCTCTCTCAATAACCAGACAAAGGCCGAATCTGACCTGAATTATCTGCAAGCCAAAATTCCTAGAATACAACAGGGGATTCACTCCCAAAGCTGTATCATCACGTCAGCTTCCTGGGAAACACTAGGACAACAAATACTGCATCTTTGAAGAAAATAACCACAAAGAAGTAGACACGCTGCTGATCCACCAGGGCTGTGCTGTGCCTGGCATCTACAAAAACCGAAACCAGCAGATGCACAGTTGGATGTTCCTTTTCACCAGCAATAACAGAACTTCTAGTGCTAGTCACAAGCAACCTAAATGAATCTCTTGCTGAAGACACAATCTGATTTTGATTTGGGCCCCTCTGGATGTTGTGCATGATTTAACCCTGTGGCGAAGCTCTAGGTAANNNCGGGAACCACACGTGACGTCACGAAATGGCCTGCTTCCAGAAGCAAAGTTTTTTTTATTGGACCTAATATTTTTCCTTTTTTTACATATTATTCAGTATGAAATAAAGAAACATACATTGACTATCTGTTGCATACACCCCCCAGAAATCAACTGCCAAAAACAGTTTTTAATGTAAGATAAGGACTTTAAGTCCTCAATAAAGGTTATGTTAACATGCAATTTAGTGAGTTCTACCTAATTATTGTTGGCACCATTGGATTCCTTGAACCTGAAAATATGGGTTTAGCAGTTCAAATCAAAGTTCTAGCTTATTTAGAAGTCAAGATATTACAAAACCTACATTTTACGTTGGCCATTTTGGAAATTCCAATATGGCCGCCATATAAACACCTGGGCAAATGGAAGCATGGATTTTCTGAATCCTTATACAATATCCTTTCCAAAAATGTATAGTATTGCAAATCCCCACAAAAATCCCACAAAAGTATATAGTGAACCTGACTAAAGGGATATCAAGGTTTAAAGAGAAGTTTGGATTTTGGCTTATTTCCCTCAATGTCACGTGTCTCCGTTCTATTTGGATCTTTCTCACTTTCTCTCTGGATCTTTCTGTTGTGGCCTTTGGCTTTTTCTTATCTTAGCTCAAGCCAGTCTTCACTATAATTCCTATTTTAGGATTTGTTGGCTCAGGTACTACCACTGAAACTATTTTGCTTTCACAAACCTGTGTCCTTCACTTTTCTTATCTCCTCATAAGACGATGGGAAACTCTGATCTAATGGCTATGATAAAATATCCAAAGTTTTGACTAATGATTGGGGAATGACGAGTGTCCTATTGATTATATCTTGCTAATATCTCCCTCTTCTCATGTTTAATTGTGTTTAAATCTGTGTTCCACTTCCCAGGCACAGGGAGCAGATCCCATATCAGTTTGGAGCTCACTGCTATGGCTTCACAAACTACAGACACAGAAAGACCTTCTGACTGGTCAACTAAACCTGCTGGGACTTCCACTGTTGGTACAAGGTAATTCCACAAAAACGTTTATTGTCAGCATTGAAAACCTTATCTACCAGATGTTTGCTTATAATCTGCATAACTAGTATTAGTACTACTATTTATTGGCTTTTTTGGGTCAGTATAGCACATGTATTACTTTGATTGGGATATTTAAATAATGTTTATGTTACATGTAGAACTTTGTATGTCTGATCATTTGAAATCTGATTTAAGCCTTTTTAACTATGTACAGAGCAATGTAAAACATCAGCATCCAATGTTGACCTGTGTACTATGCAGTGCTAATAGTATTTTTTACATTTAAGTAAATGCAAATGATATGCACCAAATGTCTGAAGGGCGAGGATGATAACAAATAAACGTAATTGTAGTGTCCCAGCACTTGAGCCTTTAGGTACATCCCACATAATCAGTAAATCTGAACAGTCACAGTGAGTGAATCAGACAAGAAAGATGGTAAACAAATAAATAAGTCAGTGCTGAAGAAGAAGAGATAGATTCCTCAATCCCACATATAACAAAGCATAAACAGTAGTAAAAGTTGTGTGCCATGCCTACGGAGCCATTTCGGGTTCAGTATCTTGCCCAAGGCCACTTCAACCGGTTATTATCTCATTCTCTTTGAACAGTGCGTGTACAGTTTAGCATGAAAGTAGACAGGATTCATATAAAGATAATAAAGGCATCCAGTGCACATCATTTGCGACCAATTAAGTAGATTTCATATCTAAAGTGTGCTATCTGAATCTGTTTTTAGCAAATCTTTGTAACATTCAACTTGTCATTAAAAAAAGTGCTCTGTGGGGCAAATACATATTCATAGTCTTGATCCCAAAAAGTTGATGGATTTAGTGCTAACCAATGGTAAAGAAAGATAATTATTAGTCACAGGAGGCACAACAGGAAGTAGCAGTTTTTGACTACCATGTTTTTTTTCCAGCTCCACTAAGGAGGACAGCTCTCCAGACTCCAACCTGACACTGGAGTCCGACTCCAGCGGCGTCTTCCTCTCCTTATCCAATCAGAGCCAGGAGGAGGCCGGCTCTGACAGCGACCAGCCAATCAGTGGCTCTGACCTAGGCAGCAGCAGCACGTCACTGGAAAAGGACGGGGAGAATGGAGGGTCAAAGGAATGGGGGAGGGAGGAGAGTGCAGAGCTACAGTGGTGCTACCCTACACTATTCAATACATCCTTGCAAGAAGACATAGAAGGAGATAGGGACCAAGAGGAAGCTGGGCATGGAAATATGGGGACATATGAAAGGGGAGGGAAAGATGAAAATGTAAGAAGGGTTTGTAGGATAGGCACGGTTTCAATCATGAAGACCCATCTCAACTATACAGACAACGAGGGCTCCACGACTTTTATGGCCCCACAAAGTGAAGAAATACCGCCCAGGAAAAGAGTGACCCTCATGGGAGGTGACATTCCTCTTCCTCTGTCTCCCTTAAAACAACCGATCAAAACCTTTCTAGATCCAAATCAGATGCCAATAAGAAGCTCAGGACTGGACTGTGGTGACATAGATCCCTTTGTTCAATCGGACAGCTTTGTTTACCTCGCTGTGTCTGCAAAACCCGCCTCCCAGGGGGAAGTCGCCACAAAGACAGAAGTTCCCACCCATGGCAGTGTACAAAAGCGTTCAAATAGCGTGAAAACACACTTTGACCAGTCAAATACAGAATGGCGGGCCAAGCCAACTCAACTTGGTCCACAAAAACCAGAGGAAGGAGACTTTCTGTGCACTGACAGCTTTGTGTACCTGGCTGCTCCGGCCTGCCACCTATTGGGCCCCGCAGGAACTGCACCCTACAGCGGCAGGTATGTGTACTTTTTGTTGACTGTATCCCTGCATTCCATCGTTCATAGTTCAGTGGGGACCGACAACTAAGCATTAAAATGCAATACATTTATTCATGTTCTGGTCCACTTTACCTGGTCCTGCTTGTAATTTAACATAGATGTAAAAAGAGAACTGGATACAGAATTTGAGGCGAGGCCACGTTCATTCCTATGAAAGTTGCTCAGTGGCCCATGAAGCAAAAATTGCCTGAATGTCGAGGACTAAAGTACCCAGATCATTTCAGGGATCTTCGGGCAATCCTCCGCATCCATTGGGTCCATGGATTAACAGTTTTCCTTAAATCCTGCCTCCAATTCCCTCCGTCACAATAGCGTCACTTCTGGTCTCGGCTCGATCAAATAAATCGAGAGGGAAGATACCTCAGTCAGATTTTGGTGCATTTTAAAACGTTAAGGACCTAATGATTTAAATAATGGCTGCTTGAGAGTTTGACGTATTTTTCCCAATTCAAGTCAATGTGAATAGGACTTTTAAGGCTTCACGTGATTGGCATCACATGACTGAAACGGTAGTCATAGTACCACTATTTGGCCAAACTACTAAAATGTGCTTCAACAAACGACGCACTTTCTGTGGGCTTGATTCGTTGTGGCAGTTGACTAGGTAAGGTAGCCCAGGCATCTTCCCCCCAGCCATGTCTTCCAGCTCTCTGAAGAATACCGATACATTCTAGCCCAGATAAGGTACGTGATCCCGTCAGTGTTCTGGGTTATCCACAGGGTGTTGTTCCAGCTAGATGTTCCTTGAATACCTAATACCATCACCATGACAGCAGCCAATTTACTGCTAATACAATCCACCTCTCAATCTTGGATTCCATTTCCACTCATAAAAGGTTTCATTCCTTGTCTGCTCGGATCTTAACTACCACTTCTGGAATACTTTTTTTTGCACATCAAAGTAAGGGTTAGGCATGTGAAATCCAAGTGTCCCATGTCAACAAAAGACATTGAGTTTGGAGGTTGAGGATGTTCTTGAGAATGCCCATGAGGCCCTAGTGAACATTATTGCAAACGTTCACACATCTCAGGAAGGAGAGACAGGGTTTATCCCAGGGAAGAGAACTGCTGATTCCGTTGGAATCCAATTTCCATACAAAAGCATGTTTTTGTCAATAACCATCATTTATCTAATTTCCACTTCAAACTAATGGAGTATTATAATTGAAATGTGTGTTTGCCCCTCCCCCTGTGTTTAACATAGAGCTCTAATAATGAAGCTTTCTTTTTAAAATAACGATTCCTTGTTACAAAGTTCACCAATTGGCGATAGATTCCATTAGCACTTTGATTACTACAATTCCATATGATTTAACTCAGATTGTGCCTGTTGTGTTTTCTTCAGGGAGTCCGACTCGGAGAGTTCAGGATCTGGCCCTGGTGACATGTCAGTTCTGGGTTGTGGCTCAGTGGCAGGGGACAGTGACTGGGACTCAGACCTGTCTGACTCCGATCCCAGTCGCCCCCCCAGGATCTCTTCTGCTGGAAACAGAGCTGCCGGCGCATCACGATCAAAGCTGCACGCTGAACCGGGCTGGGATTTATTCGGAGATACCACAGAGCCTGAAGTGCTGAGTGAGCTTTTCACGGAACAGGATAAAAACAACAATGGTAAAGCAAGGAAGGTTACCGGGGTAACCAGCAGCCTGGAAGATTCAACGACCATTCCCATGGCAACTCAGCGTGTCGCTTCGCCAGTGAAACGGTCGATAACAGTGGAGCAGGCGTCAACAAAGGTGACATGGCAGTTTAGACCTGCCCAGAGGTCAGTCTGCACAGGAAGTAGAAAAGAGAAAGAGAAGGAAATGACGTCATCGTCATCAGTAAGGTTCACGGAACTGAGAGGAGAAGAGACCCATAGAGGCTCCCCTTCATCTTCATCGTCTTCATCATCGTCACCATCGTCATCATCTTCTGGTTGATTTGTAAAGGGAAATGATTTTTTACCACCAATTGGGAAGAGCTGTGTTGCCAAAAGATAGAAAATATCTTTAATTTGTTCTGTTGAAACCGACAGATGACAGAATTTCTGGACAGATTTATTTGCCTGTAATTAGTTTTTAATTTCGCTTCTAGTTGCTGCCATTGCCTTCTAATGACTTACTAAAGGCTGCTTAAAAGACTAGTTAATTGTTGCCTTTTCTTATGTTAACAGTCCTTCACAATATCATTATAATTTGTTCAAGTTTAAAGCGATGTGAGATTCTGAACTTCAGGTTGAGATAATGAGGAAAAATGGCCACTGATAGAGCTCTTATGTAATTTAAGCACTATGTTTATTCGAATGGAGTTGATCAGAAATCTAAAAATGTTGATTTAGAAGTTACATGTACACATTATTCTCAATCTAAATAAGAAATATATATAGTTCTGTGGGGGTTTATTCTGGTGAATGTATTGTACAGGATACACACAACTACCAGGAAAAAAAACACTATTCACATACTGTATGAGGCGTTCTCATGATGTTGCTTGGTCGCAATAACACAAACGCTTACAGTTGGACAAAATAACTTCTGCTAGACCATACCCTTCTGTTATCTTTTTTATAAAGATTTAACGATATAAACGTGTATCAGGCCTTATATTAAAATATATCTTCTTCCCTATGTAATGCCTAACTTTAACACCTGCTTATACTTCATATAATATTTTAAAAAACGGACTTTTAAAAACTGTCAAAGATCAAACTTTACAATGTCCAATGTATTTTATAATCACATCCAACTTTAACAACAGTGTATTTAACAGTGTGTTAATAATATATTTTGAAAGAAAATTATAGATTGAAATAAAAACAAACAAAAAAAAAAAAAACAAAAACAAAAAACCAAAAACAAAAAAAACAAAACCACACAAAAAAAAACCAAAAAAAAAAAAAAAAAAAAAAAAAAAAAAAACAAACAACACCACAAAAAAAAGGACCCGANATTTAACAGTGTGTTAATAATATATTTTGAAAGAAAATTATAGATTGAAATATAGAGTGATCAATTATACATATATATATATATATATATATATATATATACAGTATATGATGAATGTGCAACAAATAACGGAAGGATTTAGTGATAACATTTAATTTAACTGTTTTATTTATCAATTAGGTTAAAAATTGTGAATCTAATATTTGAGCAATATGCTTCATGCTATATTATATGTTTCATATGTGGAAAGTGTTGTGCATATAAATGGCTGAGTTTAATTTAATTTATACCGCCAACTACTGCAGTATTACACTTAAGTAGAGGTTCTATGTGGAACACTTTCAAACATCAATTTATTATCAGGTATCATGGTATAATTTCCATAAACAATGGAACAAGGTAGAGATGATTGATAGCATTTGCCTCACACCGGTGGTATTTTTATTGCGAGTGACTTTATCCCCCATAATCCTCTTTGCTTCTCCCACACCTCCAAGACATCTTTAGCTTTGCGGAATTGGATAAACATAATTTGTTCCCTTTTATTCCCATCAATCATTTGTCTATGGTTGTGCTGCAAATGAAGCAATCCAGAAGAGTTTCCCACAATTCTATGTTGCTGCACACTGCAGTGCGGAGACTGATTATGCTGCCAATAGGCACTGATGTTATAGGTTCACTTTAATACGTTTCAACCCTAACCCTTGCTTTTGTCTCTACGTGACTAATGGGGACAACATATTTTAAAACTAGTCTAGTGTTGAGCCAGAGCGTTGTAATGTAATTGCTCGGGGTAATCACGCTCAATTAAAATGTTCTTTTTACCTTTCGTCCGAAAAGGTCTCTTTGTTATTGTGTCTAACATGGTCTCATTCAAGAGGAAGTCTCCTTCTGAAATCTTACCACAGAGGTGTCTTTAGTCTTGTAGAAAACAGTAGAAATGTGAGTGAGTCATAGAGAGGAGAGCTGGGAGGGGTCTGTTCTGTTGGAGTGATGGTATGTACGATACGGAGAAAATATCACAATATATTTATATAATGATATACTTGAAATGACCATCTCTAATGTGGATTTAATCACCAAGGGCCTACGTCTACATAGCGTATTTTTCTGAGCACCTGTGTCTTTTTTCTCTGTGCTTGGAATAGAGATCGGCTGGCGGACACTATGTTGCTGCCAGTGAGTGTTTTACTTTTATTGCCGTATGTCCATAGCTCCTTGCTCTACGGCTGTCAGACTGAGCACTGAAGCTTATTCATACAACGTTTTACAGTAAGATTCTTTCGAGTAGTGTTCATGGTGAAAAAATAGAAGTCAAACCATTATAGCTTCTTAAAAACCAGAAAAGACAACACTTTACGATATCCCAAAAATCAGCTCTATATCAATATAGCCGACATATATATATCAGATGTACCTTTTTCTTAAACAACACATACAGTGTCAAAGACAAAAAAACAGGTGTGCAGGTTGTTCATTTTTGTTTACCCCCCCCACCTTACAGGTACCGATCATTTCAAGTCAGACAAAAAACCTTTTATTCTTCTGTTAGATCCTTTTCTCTGTAGGTGATGTTGTTGGATACTTATAATGACAATCAAACTGTGTTGGTGGCAGAAAAACAAGCACTTGTATCAGACATACATTGATGGCAGTGTATATGTTGCGTAATTGCATAAGCCTGTTTGGCAGCTACCTGCTGCAGCGCAAATGACCAATACTAGCCACTTAACTAACTAAACTTAGACTTGTGAAAGAATCTTAAAAGTAACCCTTTAAAATGACACACGTGTACACCTTTAAAAAACCAGCACAGTGATATGAGATTTATCATCCTATTATAAATGCCATAAAGGGAACGTGGTAGGTTCGGTTGACGAACTTTCACCAATAAAAATCCTTGTTACAATGGTATATGGTTATGAAAGACTGCGGGGGAAGTTTTTACCTGACACAAATGGATTCCTTCCTCATTTAGTCGTGCTCATGAATTTCAAATTGGTCAGTGAAGGTTACTGATAATTCCGAGTTGAGTAAATGTGTCTTTACTGTATGTGTGTTTGTGTTGAGAGTGAATATATTGTGGGGATACTGCAGCCATATTTCTTGATTGTGATTGATCTTGTTTTTTTTCGCAAATTAAGAAGTGTTGCCTTGTGCAGCTGAAACTGCCATTATGAACCTTGAAATGCTCCGCCAGTCCTTATTCTTGATGGTGATGCTCTGTGTAAACCAATTGGATTTGGTGGAGCCCTAAATGTCTGCTTTAGTGATGGATTCATTATATATATTATTTGATATGATCTGGTGCTTTTGAGCACAGATTGACAAGCACATCCATGGATGAATAACATGCTTTTATTAGCATGCAATGTATTTTTAAAGTTGCAAGATTGACAGGTTTTCTTATGAAGTGTTAACCAGTTCTGTACTCATGACTGATGCAGGTTTAAAATGACTACAGCCTCTGACCATTGTAACTTTTTTTTTTAAGGCTTTTAAACTACATTTGTTAATATTCTTATAAATCCAATAGCACCCCAAAATGCTGTTGAAAATCAGCGGTTTTAAAACACGAAAAGTGAGCTGTAAGGCGTTTTGGCACACATTTGCTAATGGGCCCACGATAAGCTCCCATTACTGGAGAAACCAAGCAGTACTCCTGTGCTTTTTCTTTCTTTATTTCATGTGTGTCCATTTGTGGTTATTTGATTAAACACACATGTGCAGAAATGTGTAAATAAGTGAATTGTCAATGGTTCTGGTATAAAATAAATAATTAATCATTTCGATATGATGATTTTGGATCACGAATAAGCTAATAAAGCAGGATCTACTTAATTTGATATTATACTTAAGTGGTGCCAATATACATTGAATCTTTTGCTAACTTTGTTGGTAATTCAGCCTAGTATTTTGGGATCTCCGATGGCAATATTAAAATTGAGGAATGTATCTTGTAAACACAAGCCAGAACAATAATCTCATATATTGTGCTTTTCATATAGGAAAGATTGCATTGGAATAAGACTGTATGAGCCAGTATTCCCCTGCAGGCCCTTCAGTCTCTTGGTGGTTTTCTGCCAGCTCCAGCATCTTGATACAGTCATGTATGTGGGTCTGTGCTGTTTATTTGATGAAGGAATGGGGCCGAGCATTTATAAAAACTACCTTTACAGGTTTGATAATCCACACTGCTTATAGCGTCTGGCTGAAAATCCATTCGGAAAAGGCTGTTTATATTAAATGTAACCTGTGTTCTCTATTACGCTGTCTCTATGCTGTGTAGCACGACCTGGTTTGTATTGGAAAAACTGCTTTTTCTAACCCTGCTGCTTCACATGTCTGATGGAAGGAATGTTTGTCTTAGTAACTAGACTTTAGAGCTGACACATTGGACCAAATGAGAGGAGGAGCCAGATAGTTGTACACAATTCAATAAAATAATCTTTGATTTTCGCTAGCATTAAACTGTGGCAAGTCATCTAGTTTCATTGTCAAATATTAAGGGTAAATTAACATCACTGACTTTTGTAAAATTCAGTATAATCAGGCCATACGTGTAATACTTTGCTCTTCATGTAAACGCTGATCACTGTTAAAGCTTAGTGGTGATGAATAAGTGAAGACTTTTAAGGGGATAAGGTGGATTTATGTGAAATCGAATTGTTTGCCACATTGCCAAGCCTTGTTGAAATGCATTAAAGTACAAATAAAGATTAAACTCAATGGTGGAATGTGACTCACTTTGGCCTGTGTCGTCTGTCTTAACCTTGGTTTTTCACTGCTATGCCACCCTATTAGGGATATACATACATCTTAAAGAAATTAGAGAAAATAAAAGGGAAATGCATAAAGCTCCATTAGTTATCAACAATGGACTAAATTAATGTGTGCACTGAAATGTGAAAGGGTTTTGTTTTGCTTAGGAATCCACAGAAAGGTACCACGAACTCTGCAATCCGCACTCATGTTTTAGTGGTTTTTACATTATTTTGATGGTTTATAGTCCAAACCTTTCTTGTCTCCATGTAAATAGCTG